CCCTCGGGCACCCCGTGATGCGTCCGGCTGTGCCCGAGCGGGTGCATTTGCTGCAATGAAAACATTCGGCTCCTGCTGGAAAAATGCAGCAAAGACCCGGCGCATTCGTGACGCGAGTGCCCATGGCAGCAGATCGGGCTCGGTCTGCGCTCCCTGTTGTGGTTACGAGTGATGCCCGAGGGGCAGCCGAGCGCCGCTGGGACCCACGTGTGTGAGCGATGCCCGTCGAGACGCGCTCCCGTCCCGCTGCTCCTTCGCCGCATCCTGAACCTCTGCCCGCACCCTGGGATCCTGGCAGCGAGGATCTGGGAGCTTGGGAATGTCGTTCGGCCTCTCCCCTTCCTCAAGGAGAGGGAAGCACCATCTGCACCGTGCACCTACACCGTGCATTTACACCTGTGTTTGCACCGTGCACTTGCACCTTGCATTAACATCAGGCGTTTGCACCACGCATTTACACCGTGAATTTGCTCCACGCGATTGCACTGTGCACTAACAAACACCCTGCGTTTACACTATGCTCCCGTGCTGTGTTTTTGCACCACGCGCTGGCCCCACGCACTTACTCTGGACACTCGCCCCCACGGCCCTGCACCGCTCCTGCTTCCTCTCTGCTTGCAGTGGGTGGTGCAGAATGGCGCAAAACACCCCAAAAAGGGGCTCCGGGAAGGCGGCGGTGCAGGCAGTGGCACCAAGTTGTCCCCACAGGAGCGCCTGATGCTCTCCATCCTGCCCAAGCACGTGGCCGACGAGATGCTCAAGGACATGAAGAAGGACCCCAGCCAGAAGGAGCTGCAGCAGTTCAACACCATGTACATGTATCGGCACGAGAACGTCAGGTAGGGACGTGGCGGGATGGAGGGGACCACGGGGTGACGCGGGGGCCCGGGCGGCGGCGGGCGCTGACGGCGGCTCCCCGCAGCATCCTCTTCGCCGACATCGTGGGCTTCACGCAGCTGTCATCGTCCTGCAGCGCCCAGGAGCTGGTGAAGCTGCTCAACGAGCTCTTCGCCCGCTTCGACAAGCTGGCGGCGGTGAGTGCCACGAGCGGCGCAGGGCTCAGCCCCGGCCTCGAGCCGGGGGGGACGCGGGACGGGGTTGAACTATTTGGCGAGCCGAGGATGCTCCGGCTTCTCCTGCTTGCAAAGCGCCGCGTGGAAAGGGGTGATGCTGGAAAGCTGCAGTCGTGAGAGGGGAATGGAGGAATGAGGTTGGTTGTGTCCGCCCGTTGCAGAAGCACCACCAGCTGCGCATCAAGATCCTCGGCGACTGCTACTACTGCATCTGCGGGCTGCCCGACTACCGGGAGGACCACGCCGTGTGCTCCATCATGATGGGGCTGGCCATGGTGGAGGCCATCTCGTAAGGGCACCTCGCTGGGGTCCCCCCGGCCCGCGTGGCGCCATCCCGGAATCGCCCGGCGGGTTCGGTGGGATGCCGGGACGCGGCTCTCCCGCTCTGGGGGGACGCGGGGGCCTCACGGCAGGAACTTTGAGGGAGCTGGGCCTGTTCAGCTGGAGAAGAGAAGGCTGAGAGGGGACCTAATCAGTGTATATAAGAAGTACCTCAAGGGAGGCAGTGAGGAGGATGGTGCTGGCCTCTTTTCACTGGTGGCCACCGACAGAACTAGAGGAAATGGC